GTTGAGGTCCCGGGACCTCAGAGGTACCGAGGTCCGTAGAAGCAACCGCCGTGCTGACTAGACCAGTCTTGAGTTGTCTTCAGGTCACGACAGTTGTTATTTGCGACTTAGGAATAACTCTCAAGGAGTTGAAGTTGGTTCAGTTTTGTTCTGAAGGAACCGTTTGCGGTCAGCTGTAGTGTGCAACAGGTTTTTGACAGCTCGTCAAAAGGTGCTCTGGGTTAAAGAGGTTTTGCTTCAGATGGCCGGTCCGAAACTTTCTCAATAACTCACAAGAACTAGTACTAACTCACAGTGAAGTGAGTCCTGTTTTAATAATCGTCATATTTTGATTCACCAACAAATCAGAATTTGACATGTAGAAGGGTTTTTACCAACAAACCTCAGAAAACACGCCTTGCATCAGATACAGGAGTTCTGATTGGTGGAACAGAAAGCATTGTCAGGATATTAGCTTAACCTTGTCATCGTTATGTGTCTGAGTGTGTGAGCTGTCAAAGATAGTGATTCACTTGTTAAATCTAAAATTACTGATCATAACATATTAATATTCATTTCAACCACAGTAATTTAAGCACAGATTAATCAAAACATTGTTATTATCCTTCCACCATTATTGTTTATTATATGATTTAATTTAGAAAGTTCATCCGTCTTGTGCTGTGAATAAAAACCAGTCTTAGATAAGAATGAGCTTGGAGGGACCTTGAAGCAACAGTTTCTTGCAGATTAAAGCACCAGTTAAGACTTATGTCTCCAAATGACCCAATACTGAAGAGGTGACCTGTAGATAGAAAAACAGACCACTTCCAGAGGCTACATCCTCATGTGGTATCGGGTCCTGGCAGGTATGCTGCCGGGAAGAAGGCAGGAACATGCAGCAGTGCCTGACCCGGGTTCAGGGGCCTCAGGTAGACATTGGCTCATCTGCCGTTCCATCACAGGGGAGGGGGAGGTCCTGGAGGGGGAGGACCCAACCTTACCTGGATGTCCCATGTCTTATATATTCTGGAAGTTGTGAAAATGCAGGGACGGGCATAGATATTCTGCTGGGGTGGGGCTGGGTTAGGGCCCTCGGACTCCGTGGGGCTCTGTAATGCTGCTGCTTTGGGCCCTGGCAGGATGGGCTGGGGTCTCCATGCCCTGGGTGGCGGTTTGACAACAGAGGTGCCTATCGGGGCCAGTAGGGGAGCTGGCTCCCTGGAGGGCTAAGCCTAACCAGCCATTCCTCCCCATCCCCGCATATTTCTCTCCTCCTGCTCCCTCACATAATCACACAAACATACACATAGGACCTTGGGGGGTGGGCAAGTCAGGGAGCGCGGGTATGGACCCCATTTCCGCATTCCTGTGGCAACCTGCCCCCCAATTTTATTTGCACCTTATACACTTCCACTGACGACATTCCACACAAACACACACTTAGGGCCTTGGGAGTGAGCACAATCAACGGCATTTGGCAGGGGGATATTTCAGCCTCCTCCCGAGTGCCGGTGCCCACTTCCAATTTTAAACTGCACTTGGACACTGATGGCTGAGGGTGTAAGTGGGGTGGTGCGGTGGCATCAGCTGGCATAGGTCGGATGATGCCCGCACTGCCCAGTCACCACAGCCATGGAATACACCTCATGATCACACAACACTACATTGGAGCAGGCGGAGGGAGACTAGGGGTCTTAGCCACCTCTGTTGTTGCTAGGCTTCCTGGGGCTGGAGGCTAGGAGGGAGATCTGGCCATCTGGTTGGGGTCTGGGGTGGTGGGTTGCTGTGCTCAGCGTTGGGCGGGGGAGCCTGCTCATCAGCACCCCACCAGAAAGGGTCAAACTCTGGTTTCCGGTGATGGTTGTACCCAATGTGCAGCAGTACCGGGACCAGAGTGAATAGGGTGTGTATGGGGAGCATGAGTGGGTGTCCGGCGTGCATTTTTGTAAGTCTTGGGTTGTATGTGCATGTGTGAGCATGAGGGAGGGAGTGTGTGACTGTGTTTGTGTATGACTGTATATGTCAGGTGGGGCCTTTGACTCCTCCCCTCTCCTGGAACTTCTCTTGATGATATAGATCTTTGTCCCCCCTCCCCCTGCCACACCTGGTGTGAGGGGTTGTGCCATGGTCTGCCTGAGTGTTCGTGGCAACCGGGTCTGGGGGTTTAATATTTTGGCATCTGCCTGGATGGATGGATTGATTGATTGATTGATTGATTGATTTATGGATTGATTTATGGATGGATGTATTATGTAACAAGTAATATTTAAAGTGTAAACTTTAATCTCCTGTCACATTTTAGGCTATGTTTCAGCACCTCATCCTGTGCCAGTGCCAGAAGATCTTTGTGCACAGTTCCACAGGGCATCAAAAGGTGACATCATCACTGCACGTGTGGTCGAGAATTGGTCAAAACTCACCATTATGCCGGAAACCTGTGTAGCGCCCATCAGAATCTGGAAACTCCTGCCCTATCCAGAGAACAGCTCACACTTGAATGACCACACGTATCATTTATCCCAGTAGCCAGCACCAGCTCACAAAACTGTGATAAGCTAATAAGGACACAAATGTGTTATCATTACTTGTAGCTGCTTTAGTCTTTTATTATGTCAGATATTATGTAAAATATTTTTTATGCTTTTGTGTAAATGTTTAATAAAGAAGTTTTTATAAAAATGTGTGTTTCTGTGTTGCCAGTCCCCACATGCCAAAGACAGTGGCAAGCTGAAACACACTGGACTGGCTTATGCGAGTAAAATCAGCCAGAAGACAGGAGCCCAGCTGCACAAACAAGCATCCAAGCTGAGGGTCACAGAAGGGTCACAGGGACAAGAGGACAGAACTGGGCAAAAGGTCAGGAGGCTGACCCAACCTCTGGCAGGAGCGGGAAAAGAAGGACTGGAACAGAGTGAAGACAGCCCATCGGATCCAGAAGTCCTCTCAGGAATGCTGAAGGGAAACTGACGCTTTGCTACACAGATGATTTATGACCTGTGCCCTCATGTAGAATGCTGCATGTAGTGATCTGTGCCCTCATGTAGAATGCTGCATGTAGTGAAAATGATACCAAATGTCTTGTGTTGAGCTAAAAAGTGTGTATCTGGTAAATGACCCCATGACCTTACTGTCATGAGATAATGATATATGTGACTTTTACCTTGTCTAAGCTGGCCCAGGGAGGGTATAAAAGAGCAGCCCTGAGCAGAGCTGGGACAGAAGTTGGGGCATACGACAGGAAGAGACAGAGCAGAGCTGGGGGAGAAGAGGTCGGCCTCCGTCCTCTGGACGGAGGCTGACAGAGAGAAAAGTTTGGGGCGATCCACAGAAGACCGAGTTGGTGTAAATCAACTCCTTATTTCTTAATCAATCATTAGAACTAATTCCTCCTTGGGGGAAGCAGTTAATTTTATATTTACTCATTTTTGTATTTTTTGATCTTGTAATAAACTTTTTGGAAAAAGATCCATAATCCTTATTCTTTCAGGTTTTCTCTAGAGCTTAACGATTGGGGCCCTGACCATTGTTTGCACAGAAGTAAGCATATTAATTATAGGATCCTGAGTTATCAGGATTTACTTTACAGTTTGTGACAGATTAATTTAAAGAAACCTTAAGATAAGAGGAGCTTGTCTCCTCCCTCACCCGCGAGTAACGAGATGTCTTAAGGATGATAAAACCGAAACATTAGAGGTAAATTTTGGCTCTCATTGCAGGTTGAAAAAGTATCAGCGCTGGAGGGTTGGATTAATTAAATAAATTGATAAATCTATGTTAGCCTGATCAACTAACAAGAATCATTTAATAGTTACAAACCACCCACATAAGCTGATAGGGGCGCAATTAATTCCAAATAACCCAAACAATTGCCGGAAGGGCTGGCCTCCCGCCGGGCTTCGTCCCCAGTATTTTAACCAAAAAATAACGGGATTGCTTAAAAAGAAGTGGGCTATTACAAAGGTACAAGTCTTGCATATCATTTCACCTTTAAAATAGAAGAAATGATTCTTACTTAGGAAGTCCATAACCAGGGTCTAGTACAATAAAACTCACCGACATCCCCACCGAACCCTGAAAGATGCACAGTCTCATAAGTTCTAACGGAACTGGGTTTTAACGGAACCGACAAATGGGACGTGCACGCGACATGGCGCCCAACGTGGAGCTACGGAGTGAAGGTTTAAATATTAGATACCAGGCTATCCGACGTAGAACTGTCTTCTAGGCTTATAAAAGCTTGCGCACTAAGGACCTGATAAGCTTATAACCTTGGAGTGAAAACCGCACCAATTTCTCGAAAAGGAAAGAAATTTGGGAGAACGGACGATTAACTTAAAAAGGTATAACGAAATTACGGCTTTCCGACGCAAGAAAAGCCAAGGATAAACTAGGCAAAAATAAAAATAAATAAAGAATAAGAGTAAAAAATAAGATGTAAAAACGAATAAAAATAAAAAAATAAGAAACATTTTTAACCAGCCATGGCAGATAGATCTTTCAGTTTCCTGTAACCGGAGCTTTCAGAATGAGGCTGGAACAGCTAGCTGCGCCTGAGCGCTGTCCGAATGCTGAAACACAAGTGAGAAGAATAACATCACTGAAGAAATTACTTGATTAAACGTCATGGCTGGATCAAAATCTAGTGAAGAAATGATATGTGAGAATTTGTGTAGCCCGGGCCTAGTTTTGGTATCACGGGGAGGATTTGTCACGAACTGTAAAGTAGCCATGTTTCCTAGCTTCACAGAATCTCCGGTCGGGCATCGTTACGTCTAAGGGAGGGGCTGGAAGCCGGGAACATGTATAATGTGTGAAACTCTTTAATAAAATGATCGGGGCTCCGGGAGAAACCGTGCCGCCTGTAAAGGAGGACGGACTTATAACTGGGAGCATTGGAACTCTGCTCCAATTAAAATTTGTTTAGGACCTGTTTGAGACAAGGACCTAGCATCTGCTCTCGGCAGCCTGCAGATATGAGAAGAGACAGCTGAACAGAGAAAAAGCACCCAGTCAGCTGAGCAACAAGAGACAAGCGGAATGTGCAGGATGTGGTGACATCACCCCTCCCCCAGCAAGTTCTGTTAAGAAGGGGGAGTCCTGAACTTACCCCCAAATTCCACTACCTCCGCTCCGTTCCGACACGAACGCCGGAGCAAAATCGGTCCCGTTGTAGTCAATCAGAGCTATTCCACTACTGCGGCCGTGCTCCGGCAGTGCGGCGCCGTGCGCGACCCTCTGTACCGGCGTCCGGCAAAAATAGAATCGATCCTATTTTTGCCGGACGCCGGAGCACCTCCGCAGTATATGGACAGAAATCACTGATACCTGTTTGGATGAGGGTTGCCTCCAAACACCCAGAGAGTCACATCCTGCTCCGTTCAGGCTGGGAACCCATCATCACAGCCATGGTCATCAGCAGGTACTCAGCAGAGTTTAGTTTCAGCTTCAAGCTCAACAAAAATGTTCAGACAATTCAACATTTTCTATGAAATTTGCACTTTTTCTGAATTTTGAACAGTTGAAGCTGAATGTGTTCATATTTAGATTATTATCATTTCACTTTACTGGTTACTGGACTCTATTAAACATACAAAATCTGCTTTCTACTCTGGAATTGGTTTCCTCCAATGAAGGCAACTCCAGGACTCTGTTCTCAATAATGCGCAATATTTTTCATCCCCCGGACTCTCCCACCCCCCCCCACCCCCCCACCCCCCCCAATCTGTATTCTGCTGACTCATGTAACTCTTTAATAACCTTCTTTACTCAGAAAATTGCTTCCATACACCGGCAATTAATTCCAAGCTCTTCCCCTCCCCCTGAGATTTTTTCACCCCGCCAATCATTTTGTTCCTTTCTTCTTCCCACCTCATCCGAAATATCTGATCTTGTCTGTAAATCCAAGCCCACCACCTGCTCTCTCGACCCCCTTCCTACAGTTTTGGTTAAAACATGTCTCGCCTCCCTTCTCCCTCTCATAACCACCATAATCCACTCCTCCCTCTCTACCGGTATTGTTCCCTCACTTTTCAAAACTGCATCTATGTCTCCAATATTAAAGAAACACGGCACTGATCCCAATAATTTCAATAATCTTCGTCCCATCTCAAATCTTCCATTTCTTTCAAAAATGCTAGAAAAAATAAACTCTGTTCAACTCCATGCTCATCTCACCCTCAATAGCCTCTATGAGCCCTTCCAGTCTGGTTTTCGACCTGGCCACAGTACAGAAACTGCACTCATAAAAATCACTAACGACCTCTTCACTGCTGCCGATACTGGACTGCTCTCCATTCTCATCCTCCTTGACGTGAGTTCAGCCTTCGATACCATCTCTCACACCATCCTCCTCCATAGATTGTCTTCCCTTGGCATTTCTCATACCCCGCTTGATTGGTTCCGTTCATATCTCTCTGGCCGTACTCAGTTTATTCAACTCAAATCCTTCACTTCCCGTCCCTTCCCTGTCACTACTGGCTTCCCCCAAGGCTCTGTTCTCGGTCCACTCCTTTTCATCACTTACCTTCTTCCCCTGGGAAATATTTTCCGTAAATTTGACATCCATTTTCATTGTTACGCGGATGACACCCAGCTCTATGTATCCTCCAAACCCTCCTCTTCACTCCCTCCTTCCTCCCTCACCAATTGTTTATCTGAAATCAAAGACTGGTTCACATCAAACTTTCTCAAACTTAACAGTGATAAAACAGAAAGGTTACTTGTCGGCACTAAATCTTTACTATCCCAAATCCACAGCTTTACTCTTCCTGTCGACAACTCCTTAGTTTCCCCCTCCCCTCAGGTCAAGAGTCTGGGTGTCATCCTCGACTCCTCACTATCCTTCCAGTCCCACGTAAACAATATTACCCGGTCTGCCTACTTCCATCTACGTAACATTAACCGCCTACGCCCCTCCCTCACTACTCACTCGGTCGCCATCCTTGTCCACAGCCTCAGCACTTCCCGTATTGACTACTGCAACTCTCTTCTCTTCGATCTTCCTCACAAATCCCTCCATAAACTTCAACTTCTCCAGAACTCGGCAGCCCGCATCATTTCCAGAACTCCCTCCTTCCACCACATCACCCCTGTTCTTCAGCAGCTCCACTGGCTCCCAGTCACTTCCAGAATCCAATTCAAAATTCTGCTATATACATTCAAAGCCATCCATAACCTAGCGTCCCCCGTACCTCTCAGACCTCCTTCATCCTTCAACCTCCACCCGTTCCCTCAGGTCCTCCTCCTCCATCCACCTCTCTGTCCCACCTTGCCGTCTGGTCACTATGGGGAGCAGGGCCTTCAGTCGCTCTGCTCCCCAGCTCTGGAACTCACTCCCTCCTGACCTCCGTAACATTGATTCCCTCACTCTCTTTAAAACCAGACTCAAAACCCACCTGTTCCGTCTAGCATTCCAATAGTTACTCTCTTTGCTCCAATCTGTTTGTTTTATGCTGTTCTATCTTTTATTGTTTGTATTTTATCTCTGTCTGTAAAGTGTCCTTGAGTGTTTAGAAAGGCGCAGTTGAAATAAAATGATTATTATTATTATTATTATTATTAATTATTATTATTATTTTATTTTCCGTCTTCATCAGTTCCACTGATTTCGAGATGCCTTTTGCTTGCTCGCCATCATTGCATGTATTCAGTAATCATGAAACCCCGTTTATAGTCCTTGTTTTCTTTGTCTTATCAGATCTTCTGCTGATCTTTCTCTTCCTGGGTTCTGATATTATATTTTATGTTTCTGATACTGAATGTATTGATCCTTTTTTAATTTGTTTGCTGTTGCTATGTAATTACTTTTTGGGATAAAGATGCTATCAACATAGAACAATATCAGCAAGTGCATATCGGTTAATATTTCTGCATAAATAGAAATTTATAAATTTATAAACTATTAAATGAGTCAAATCACATAAACTGTCCCAAGGTGGTGGAAAAAAACGTAAAAATCCTTTATTAAGGAGTAAACCCAGAGAATGCAGGGCGCCAAAAAACAAAATCTGAAAATCCTAATAACTAAACCTAGAGAATCCAAAAACACAAGAGACCTAGAGATTCTAAAAGCTAGAGAGGGGGACAAGACGAGGTTGACACAAACAATGAACCAACAACACTCTGAGACGCAGACAGGGCTAAATACACTGGGGCAGGATGAGTGGGAGATGAGCTGCAGGTGTGTGGAGAGAGAAACCTAGTGAAAACAATTAACTAATCAGGGAGAGGAAAATAACATGTCCTAAGAGTAAAAACAAAACCTGAAGACAAGAAGATTAAGATAAACAACTAATGATCTGTGGATAACTAAAAAAACAGTGGAGAAAGAAAACACACTAAAAAGAGACTAATAAATGAAAAGCTGAACCTATAGGAAAAAACTACAGAAAGAAAAACTACACAGTTGTGACTAAGGCCCTGTCCAC